GAATGGGGCGAGTGATGGAAAGCGGGAGAATGGGGCGGGGTGATGGAAGGAGGGAGAATGGGGCGGGGCGATGGAAAGCGGGAGAATGGGGCGGGGTGATGGAAAACGGGAGAATGGGGCGGGGTGATGGAAAGCGGGAGAATGGGGCGGGGTGATGGAAAGAGGGAGAATGGGGCGGGGTGATAGAAAGCGGGAGAATGGGGCGGGGTGATGGAAAACGGGAGAATGGGGCGGGGTGATGGAAGGAGGGAGAATGGGGCGGGGTGATGGAAAGCGGGAGAATGGGGCGGGTTCCCGCGCCTGCCGCGCAATGCTCGCTTGCTGTCGCTCAGGCGCTCTCCGCGCATTTCTGGCGGAGCTGCGCCGCTGCGCTTCCGCCGACCCGCGCGTCTTCGGCTCTCCCGTGGGGAAGGCGACGGCGGAGCTTCTGCTGGGCCTGGCGCGCTCGCACGACGCTTTCCTCGAAGCTTCCGCCAGCCCGTCGAGTCGCGACAGCGCCAGTTCGAATCCGCGCTCACAGGCGGAACAGCTGCGCGCGTGTCCTCCGCGGAAGCCGACGTCTAGGCGGTATTGGGGGAGGTGGTTCTGGCGCTAGCCCTGCACTGCATCCCCGCGGGGCTCGCGGAAGCCGCTGGCGGAACCGATTTGCCAGGCGGGGACACCGCGGGCGACAGCGGCACGAGCGGCGGAAGCGCCGGCTCCGCGTTGGCGGAAGCGCTGCAATCCGTGTTCGACGCGTGGGTGAAGCCGCACGTGGGAGGGGGGAGCGGTGGCGCAGCTGGGTCCGCCGTCGCTCTGGGGAGAAGCAGCAGCAGCGGCGGAGGGGAAGGCGGGCTGGCGGGGGACGATGCGGACGGGCGCATACCCTCTGCCTCGAGCGAGCAGCTGACGTCGCTGCTGACGTCAGGAACCGGAGCAGCGGGGGAAGCCGTTCATTTGCCTGGTGCGGAGGGGGCGGTGGAACTGGTGGGGGCGGTAGCTGTGGGTCCGTGGCGGCTGCAGCTGCTGGCCGGCGCGTTCAGGGTAGCTGCGGCGGTGGTGGGCGGGGAGGATGATGGCGTGCCTACGGAGAAACGCGGAGGCACAGCAGGAAGCGCGGGGGAGAAGGCTCTGGAGAGCGTGGTCGGCCAATACGTCGCTGCCACGTCAGCTCTGCTGTCGAACTCGATAAATCTTTTGCAGGTGAGGGGGTTGCTGGATGGTGGACTGGTGGGTCGTTCCTTAGATGAGAGCCCGGGCAACACTGGTTGCAGGAATAGAGACTGCTCTAGGATTGCACATTGCTCTAGGGTGGCATCATGGCACGTTGCTCTGACTCCCCTGCCACTAGGTGAGCCTCGTTCGAGAGGCTAGTGCGCTCCCACCCCTGCGTCTGCTGCTGCCTGCGGCTGCCTGCCTGGATGCCTGGATGGTGTGGTGGGGGGTGGGGGGGGTGATGGTGTGTTCATGGCCTGTGGATGGGGCCATCTGCTGCCTGCGCTCGCCACCTCTTGACTGCCTCTCTCTCCACTGCATGATTCTGCTCTGCGCCGGGCCTGCACGGATCCCTCTGGCTGCCATCTGCCTCTCCCTTCCTCTCCCTGCTGCCCATACCCTGCCAGCCGCTCCTGTGGCCGCCTCCGGTGCTGCTCCTGCTGCTCGCACAGGTGGCAGCACGAGCAGAGGTCGCAGCGAGGCTGCACGCTGCTGAGTCAGCAGCGGCGTTTGCCACGTCAGCGGTGGAGGGAGGGAGGGCGTCGCTGCGGGCGGTGAAGGGCGTGCGGGCGCTCTGCCTTGAGGTGGCTGATGCGTGCTCGCGATCCGCCTGGCGCAAGGTGAGTTGGTGGGGATGGGGGAGGGTGAGGGGGGGGGGGGGGGATGGGGGCATCACATGAGTGAAGGGCATGAGGGCTGAGTGAGGGCCCTCATGCCATGCAGGGGGCTGATGCTTGCTCCCGATCAAAGGGGGACGAGGGACAGGGAAAGGGGAAGACGGAGGGACGTGGGGCTTGAATGATCGATATCAAGCGAAAGAGAGTCAAGAGCTTGTGAAGAGAAGACAAAGAGTCATTCCGTTTCCCGTGTTGCCCACATTCTAACACATCCTTTCCAACACCAACCCCCGGCCCCTGCCCGCTCCAGATCCCCGCCTGTGAGGATCTCTTCTCAGCGGTGCTCTCAGCAGCCGCTAGGCTGGCAGTGCGGCAGAGCGAGGCGAGCGGGGCCGGGCGAGAGGACGCGGAGGCAGCAGCGCTGCACGAGACGCTCCTCCCCATGCGCTCCTCCCCATGCGCTCATCCCCATGCGCTCCTCCCCATGCGCTTCCTCGTACTCTACTTCACTCTGCTTGCGCGCGTTGCTCCTTGTTGCAAAGGACATTATTTCCTTCTCAGGGTTCTCTGTGTTTCGAGATCTTCGTCACCGATTGAACTATTGCAGTAAGCAGGCCCCAAATTTCAAGGGTATTTTACCCTTTTTGCCCTGCTCATAGGCCACTTTTTGGCAGTTACCCTTTTCAAATCAGGGTATGCAGTTTTTTACCCTAGTGAAATCAGAATACGCTTAAAATGTCAAATGTTGTAGCCTATAGTGAGGTTTGTCTTAGGGGGTACAAAACTTAGGGTTAGCTATATGTACCCCAACCAACATCAATGCATCATCCATTCCTCATTTTGACATGGTATCAGTTAGGTTAGGATCCTGTGGGATCCCGTTCCTCCGTTCTCCGTTCGTATCTCCCGAGCCTGATCCTACCTCTCGTTCGTACCGGTTCCGTTGTTACCGCGCCTAGTGCCGAGCCTAGCGCCCTTCCCCCCGTCGCGTCGCGCCCTTTCCCCCCGTCGCGTCGCGCCCGTTCCCCCCCGTCGAGTCGCGCCCTTTTCCCCCCGTCGCGTCGCGCTCTTTCCCCCCGTCGCGTCGCGCCCTTTCCCACCGTCGCGTCGCGCCCTTTCCCCCCGTCACGTCGCCCTGCCCCGTCCCGTCGCCCTGCCCCGTCGCGTCGCCCTGCCCCGTCGCGTCGCCCTTCCCCGTCCCGTCGCCCTGCCCCGTCGCGTCGCCCTGCCCCGTCGCGTCGCCCTGCCCCGTCGCATCGCGCCCGCCCTTTCCCCCGTCCCGTCGACCCTACGCCCTGGCCCGTCGCCCTAGCCCGTTCTTCCGCTGCGACTAAGTCCCCCCACCTGAACCCTAATTTGCCTCTTACCTCCTGCTGTTACTCGCCTGCTCGTTCGCGTTAGTTCTCGCTATGGCGACTCCGCGAGTTCTTCGTTTCGACGCTGACGGTAGACCTCTTGACTTTTCCGTCTGGCTTCTTCGCGCTCGCCGTCTGTTAGAGAGTCAAGTCCAGGGGGGCGAGACCCTCTGGTCGCACGCTACTGGTGACCTCCCCGAGCCCCCCGAGCCTGCCGCTTTAGGTCCTGCCCCTGACGATGCTGCTACGGCTCGCTTTGCCCGTCAGCGCGCTGACAGGACGGCTTGGACGTCGCGTGACGCTGCGGCCTGCATCGCACTCAGCAGCCTCCTCCCTGAGTCCGAGGAGGTCCACTTCACTCAGGTTCGCACCGCTGCTGCGTACCTCACTGCGATTAAGGCCCGCTACTCTACTCCCGCTACTGTCTCTCTTGGCCGTCTTTTCCTCCCGTTCCTGTTTCCTGATCTCGCCTCGTTTGAGCGCTCTGCTGACTTGATCGCTCACCTCCGCTCGCTCGACGCTAGTTACCGCGCTGCTTGCACTGAGGCACAGCTTGCACTGCTTCCTCCCCCCATGGCGATTACTATCTATTTCATCGCCACTAGCCTCCCTGACCGCCTTGCCTCCGTTCGTGACGCGCTCCTGCTGAAGCACCCTAGTGAGCTGACAGTCGAGGTCCTTGAGTCTGCGCTCAAGGACGTAGAGAGCAACCTTCGCTCGGTAGCTGCCGCCTCTGGTGCTGTGCCCCCCCCACTCTTCCACGGGTGCACAGTCCCGCAGTTACCCACCTTCACTGCCTCTCTTGCCACTGCCGCTACTGACGCGACTGCAGCTGCTGTTACGACTGCGTCGCGGTCCCGCGGCAAGGGGGGCAAGAAAGGTGGTTCTGGTGGAGGTGGAGGCGGAGGTAGCGGAGGTAGTGGGGGTGCTGTTGCGACTGGCGGTGGTGGGAGTGCAGCGTCTGGAGAGACCTCTCGTGCAGCGGCTGGTGACTCCACTGCGCCTGCTGGTGGTGGCGACACCCGAGCTCGTCAGTCGTCTCCTGTACTGCCGGCCCCGCTAGGTGGAGCAGCGGCGTGGTACCAGGCTCAGCGTCAGCAGCAGCTTCAGCAGCAGCAGCAGCCCCTCTCCTCCCAGCAGCCTCAGCAGCAGCAGCGTCAGCAGCTGGCTCCGGGGTCGGGGCTGCGTCAGCCCCAGCGTGGTGCTGCTTACCCTCCCTGCACCTATCAGGTTCTGACAGGTCCTCGTCGGGGCCACCCTTGTGGCCGCTTTCACCCCCCTGGTCAGTGCTTTGCTCAGCTCACTGACACGGTCCGGTTGGCCTACGGGGTTGGCGGTCCTGCCCTTGACTGGCTTCCTCTGGTTCAGCGCTACGGCTCCGCTCTGTGGGGCATGTCTGCTGAGCAGTTAGTTGATCTGATTGGTGCTCCTCATGCTATGTATGCTGTTGTTGACTCTAGTGTTTCTGACTCTGCTTACTCTGGTGTTGTTAGCTTAGGTGCTAGCCTTGCTCAGTTGCCTGTTGCTAGTGTAGGTTCTTGTGTAGACTCTAGTCCAGCGGCTACCTCAGAGGACGGTTCGCTGTCGTTCACGCTGGACTCTGGAGCCTCTCACTGCTTCTTTCGTGACAGCACGACACTTACGCCTCTTCCTGCGCCTGTTTCTGTGGCGCTGGCTGATCCCACTTCGGGACCAGTCACCGCGCGTCACACTACCACCTTGCCGTGTCCGGCTGCTCCTTCTGGGTCTCTCACTGGGTTTCACGTCCCCTCGTTCTCCCGGAACTTGGTGGGCGTGCGACCCCTCGTGAGTCAGCACGTGGGTGTGTGGTTTGAGCCTTCTGGAGAGACTGCGGTGTGTGTTGACGGGGACTCTTACCAGCCCCTCGCCACTTTTGCTGCTGAGCCGGGCTCCGGTCTCTACACTCTTCACACTGGCCCGCGCGCTCAGCAGCGACTGCAGCAGCAGCAGCAGCCGCAGCAGCAGCCGCAGCAGCCGCAGCCGCAGCCACAGCGGCCGCCGTCGCAGCAGCCACTCCTCCCAGTTCCTGTCCCTCCCCCTAGTCTCCTCCCTGCGTCTCACCAGGTGGTTCCGTCCCCTCAGGTTGTCGCGTCCAGTCCAGTCGCTGCGTCTTGCTCCTGTCGGTCGCTTGCCCACCCCACCGTTCTGTGGCACCACCGGATGGGACACCCTTCTCTTCCACGTCTGCGTGCTATGTCTAGTCAGCGTCTGGTCTTAGGTCTCCCGCGTGTCTTGCCGTCGCTGCCGCCGTCCCTTGCACCACCGTGCGGTCCTTGCGTCGAGGGTAGGCTGCGTGCCACCCCTCACTCCTCCTCCCTTCGTCCGGCCACCGAGCCTTTTGAGACGCTGCACTTGGACGTCTGGGGCCCCTCTCCTCGCCCTGGCCCTGAGCGTGAGCGTTTCTTTTTGGTGGTCGTTGACGACTACTCCCGCTACACCACAGTGTTCCCCCTGGCGAGGAAGTCTGAGGTGACTTCTACGCTGATCAGGTGGTTGCTTACCACCCAGGACACTCGTGGTCGTCGTGTCAGCTGTCTCCACTCCGACCGCGGGGGCGAGTTTCGCTCCGGCATTCTCGCTGGATTCTGTCGCGAACAGGGCATTCGTCAGTCCTGGACGCTTCCGGAGTCCCCACAGCAGAATGGGGTTGCTGAGCGTCGCATAGGCCTGGTCATGGAGATTGCCCGCACCTCCTTGACTCACGCCCGTGCCCCCCATTTCCTGTGGCCATACGCAGTCAGGTACGCCGCGCACCAGCTGAACCTCCGCGCCGGGCGGGGTGATGGAAAGCGTTAGGACGGGGTGGGGTGATGGAAAGCTGGAGAACGGGGCGGGGTGATGGAAAGCGGAAGAATGGGGCGGGGTGATGGAAAGAGGGAGAATGGGGCAGATTGATGGAAAGCGGGAGAATGGGGCAGGGTGATGGAAAGCGGGAGAATGGGGCGGGGTGATGGAAAGCGGGAGAATGGGGCGGGGTGATGGAAAGCGGGAGAATGGGGCAGGGTGATGGAAAGCGGGAGAATGGGGCGGGGTGATGAAAAGCGGGAGAATGGGGCGGGGTGATGGAAAGCGGGAGAATGGGGCGGGGTGATGGAAAGCGGGAGAATGGGGCGGGGTGATGGAAAGCGGGAGAATGGGGCGGGGTGA